CTTTTTTTTTCTTTTTGCTTATGTGGTGCTGAGGAATTGAACCCAGGGCCTCATGCATGCAAGGCAAGTGCTCTACCACTGAGCCACCTTCCCAGCCCGACAACTATTTTCTTTCAGAGCTTGGAACATTGTTTTCATTTCTTCTTTGGTTTTAGTTTCTCACGACAACTCTATTATTCTAGTAGGTTTGTCTTTATATATGATTTGTCACTTCTCTCTTGCAACATTTAACCTTCTTTATTCTGTATATTTCATGCTTTCAGCATAATATGTATAGAGGGTATTTCTTAAATGATCTTGTGGTTTTGATTTTCTGAAAGCTTCCTGTGCCCAAATGACCTTGTATCTGCTATATATACCTTTAGCTTACACCTCTTCTCTTATACCCATGGCTCAGGCTTGGCCTTATAATGGTGATCTAGGGGTCCTTATGTGTATACTCAGATTTTATTGATTATGGATGTTTGAGGCAACTTGTTGCCTTGATTTCCCCCCCATTATTTGGGTTTCTCCATTGAGACTTGATCATTTGAGGCCAAATTATTGAATTCAGGGCTTATTTCATTTTTTAATGAATTTTTAATTTCATTTGAAATGATATTTGATCTGGGGCTTGAACTCTGGGCCTATGAGCTGTCTCTGAGCTTTTTGTTCAAAGCTAGCACCTACCACTTGAGCCACAGAGCCACTTCCAGCTTTTTCTGAATTTATTGGAAATAAGACTCTCATGGACCTTCTCGCCTGGGCTCACTTTGAACTGCAATCCTCAGATCTCAGCCTCCCGAGTAGCTAGGATATAAGCATGAGCCACTTGTGCCTGGCGTATATAACATTTACAAGGAAATACACATTAGTGGTTGTCAGGGGTTAAGGATCATGGTAAGGAATGGGTGGGCATAAAGGGTACGTGTCAGGGACCTTGTGGCAATGGAACAGCTCTGTACTTTGTGGGGCAGTCACGTCAGTCTACACTTCATACAACTGTACAGAATTTTGAACATATGCACCTGACACACTTTGGCTTCAAAAATGGGATCAGTGCATTTTAAGTTTTTACTCTTCCCCTTTTCTTAAAAAAGAGTTAAAAATCCTTTACCTGTGTTGCTGTTGAACAGGTCTTCTGATGTTAAGTCAATAACAAAACCAAGCTTCCTCTTCCTGACAGCCTAAACAGTTGTAAAACAAAAAACAAGTAACTTGAGTTTGATTTAATAGCAGAAAATGTTTTTAAAAAGTGAAACACATGTACGTTTTTATAAACCTTTCTTAATGCTGAGTCTGAAACACAGAGCCTTTTGAATGTGACCCATTTCTCTATCACTGAGCTACCCCCTCTCTAAGTTCTAAATGAACATTTAAAAGCTAGAAATTGCACATTCTTATAGCTTAATTGAGCACTACTATAGAAGAGAAGTTCTTAAAATTACTTCATAGCTTTTGAATAGGCAACAAAGACTGTAATGGATCTGGTACACGAGCCTGGTTGGGAAGTATATTTATCTGCTATGTGGTTTTCAATGTGCATGCTGGCTTGGAGCTTGGAAATACTCCACTATGTCCCAGGAGAAAACGAACTCCACTTTCAGGAAACAGCCAGTGAATGAATGACAAAACTAAGTCATTCACATGCATTAATAACAAAGATCCTGGTTCTAACATATTCAAATGAGCAATGTTCAAAGACAGTAATTGTTACCCACCCTAACTTGAATTTCATCATTAGATGAGTTGCTGGAATTGTTTGATGTAATTTTTCTAATATCTGAAAGAAAATTATTAAAGTATGAATATATTTGGCAAGATTATTGAGCTATTAAATATTTATGGACTTCAGAATATATGGATGCTGAGACACAGGAACAATGGGGATGCTAATTAACTGTTGATTGCGTAACTGAAGTGACTAGATAGACAGAATTTGACAGTCTAGTATAAAAAAAGTTAATTCGAGGTAAAAAATATTTTATTTTGCATAATTCTGTATCTCTCTTTTTGAAAATTCATCTGAAAATTATTTTAGCATTTGAATAAAATAAGCTTGGAACTGCAACAAGGCCTTATTCAAGGTAGCTTTCAAACAGACCGTCATACCTCCTTCCTGGGACCAGTAGGAAGCCACCCACTGTGTTTGCTTCTACCTCACTGATTTAAAACTATGGAGACAATTAAGTAGCTTTGTTAAGTGCAACAAAGCTTCCTGAAATTAAGGTCCAAACATTCTAATACATCTAAAACATAAAACGAAAATAGGGAATTTCAGGTAAGAAACTGGACCAAGCAAGATGATGATTTAAAAATAGAAGAACTAGAGCACTAGAAATGTAAAGTTTAAAAAGCAGAAGTAATACTGGGTGCCGGCGGCTCATGCCTGTAAGCCTAGCTACTCAGGAGGCTGAGATCTGAGGATCGAGGTTCAAAATCAGCCAGGGTAGGAAAGGCTGTGAAGCTCCAATAAACTGTGGCTCAAGTAGTAGAGTGTTAACCTTGAGCTGAAGAGCTGAGGGACAGCGCTCAGGCCAAGTTCAAGCCCTATGACCAACAACAACAACAAAACCCCACAGAAGTAATGAACAAACTTTTAGGTCTAAAATAAGAATGTATGATATCCTAAGGCTGGCCATGGTGTCACATATTGTAATTACTCAGGAAGCTGAGGTAGGATGCTGTATTTAGATAAGATCTCATTAAGACCTAGCCTAGGGCTGGGAAGGTGGCTCAGTGGTAGAGCGCTTGCCTTGCATGCATGAGGCCCTGGGTTCGATTCCTCAGCACCACATAAGCAAAAAGAAAAAAGCCGGAAGTAGCACTGTGGCTTAAGTGGTAGAGCGCTAGCCTTGAGCTGAAGAGCTGAGGGACAGAGCCCAGGCCCAGAGTTCAGGCCCCATGACCGGACACTCCCCCCCCCACAAAAGACCTAGCCTAGATCCCTTTGTTTCCTTCTAAAGAAGATAACTTGTAGACAAAACAAACCACCACTACCACCAACAAATAATTAAAAACAATGCACATGCAAACCATTATGCAAATAAATCATAATTACACAAACAATAAAGAAATGAAAGATTATAAATAAATAAAACAAATTTAAAAGAGAATGTCAATTATATTAAGGTATCATTTCTTGAGGTATATGTATAAATCAGAACATTGGAGTGGACTTTGCAGTTTTTAAAAAGATACTCATTGTTTTAAATATTTAAGGTTTCTATTTGATAAGGTTATATTCCAATTAACTTAAGATACCTGTTGGATCTGATGTAACTGGAGTTGTTACATTAGGACTCTCCACAGAAATCAACATAACATCATCGTTACTAAAATGGTAAAAAAAAAAAATCAAAAATGGAAATAAACTAAACATGCAATATTAGGCTGTAAACATGCAATTAGTAGTTACAATTCTTCTAAATTAATATTTCATAACATGTTTTAATTAACATTTTGTTTAACTGAATTTTTTTTCTGTGGGCCCTAGGGCTTAAACTCAGGGACTAGGTGTTGTCCCTAGGGCTTAAACTCAGGGACTAGGTGTTGTCCCTAGGGCTTAAACTCAGGGACTAGGTG